ATTTATAATCACAAAATGAACATTATGAAAAGCAAAAATATCTGGAAATCTTAAATTTTTATTTAAAAATCTGATGGATTAGCATCTTTAAGCCGATTCGTAGTAGGTACCTGTACTCAGCGATTTCAAGAGGCTTACGGGGTATTGGGCTTTCACCGTTACGTCGCGTCGTCCCACGACGTCTGATTTTTAAGAGCTTCTTAGGATTTGGGCTATCTGTTTTGTGAAGACTTCTTAAGGTATAAACGGCACTAGAATTTTCCTTTAGCAGATTAAGTAATTGGAGAGATTTTTTCTGTTTGTTCTTAAGTTCTTCATCTCATTTAACTCCTATATAGGGAGATATTTAAGTTGTAGTCTATACTTTAACAGGAACGTAAATATGATATGGTATGTAAGTCCGTAAACAGGAAGCCAAGAGTCTCACTTAAATATTTGTAAATGTATTTTGGGCGATGTTTGTATTACATAGACTCCATCAGTCATACCACAAGGCATTCTAGTGCTCGTCGAATATGTTACACCATTTATAATTATTATTGCACTTATCCGCTAAAATTTCAAACTCTTTGATTATTTGGAAAAGAGGCCGCCCGCAGTCTTGAAAAAAACTATCTAAATATAAGGGATTACTTCATTGCGCAGTAAAATATTTTTCCCATCTTCAGACATAGAGTAGCAGTGAGTCAGAAAACTGCATCGCATGAGTTATTATAAAGAAGGTTCACTCGTGTCTTGTCCCCTATGGAATGCAATTTATCGAAGTTTCTTTGAAAACTTTATCAAACTTTAATAGAAGTGAAATTTTTGAACCATTCAATTCCAGGCTATAATAAGACGCTTTTGTGAAGAGCTTCTCTTTAACAATTAACTGTGTGTCAGACTTCAAGTTATTTTTTTATAAGAGAAGAATTTATTTCTAGTAGAATTCCATGTTTCATAAATATTAACATAAAAAACCGATGCGACTCCTTCGACGATCTGCTTCTAAACTTCTTAGTATAACTTAGTTTCTACTAATGCTGATAGCATTAGTTGGAGTTTGGAATATCTATGGATAACACTTTTTTATCTTGGAAATAGGAAATGAATTGCTATTATGTGTACTATTATTAAGTACATAAACAATCGGGATATTTTTTTTCAATTTATTTGTTAAATTTTTACCATTAGACTATTTATTATACCTTGAAATTTTCGACCTTACCCGCCCGGTGATCCAACATTGAACGTCCTATAGCTAAAAAAGTATGGACATTAGAAAAAAAATGATCTTTGAAAATAGATGAATGTATTTTATTGATTAAACTAATATTTTAAGAGTTATTGGGCGATATAGAAGAACCGGTTCATTTAATGGTTTTACAAAAAAAATGTCAGAAAACATAAGACGTGAAATTTTATTCTCTACAAAAATAGTTCCAATAACTTTTGATCTAAAGTGCATAGATTCCGAGATATCGGCCAAAAAAGATTTTTCAAGATGGCGCCTGAAACTCCACCGGAATCTGTCAGCATTTTGTGATTTTGTACTTACTCAGTAAGTGATCCTAAACCTTATGCAAAAAAAAAATCATCGGAAATTTAGTGCAAAATTTAAATTCTATTTTTACTCTAGTATATCTCTGCCAAACTCATTTTTATGGTAATTGTCAAAATAGCTGCCAACTCGTAACAAGAGGGATTAGATTTCTGAAAAAATGTTAAATACATATTTTGATTCTCAGACATAACGCTTATTTTTCATATTAATACAAATTTTAAATGCTATTGCAAAGCAATCGAACAATGTTATTTTGTTAGACAAAATAACTTTGTTCGATTGCTTCCTTTTCCCGCAGTAAAAAGTATCCTAAATGTTGACCCGGATAACTAGCTAGCATCATACCAAATTTCATCACAATCAGTATAGTGATTTTCTCGTGATGCATTCCCAGACAGATAGACAAAAATTCTAAAAACTATAGATTCGGCCTATGTATCGATAATAATGACTATTTCAATAAGATTTTCGAAAAAAATATTTAGTGTACAAATTCGGCTTCGTTAGAATTTTATTATATGCATAGAATAGTGAATCTACAAGTTTTAGTAAAATAAATTATAGCCATTAAGCCGCTCGCAACTGTTGCTAACTGACAACTGACAGGCGACATCAAAGCGCGGGAAAACTAAAACACTCGACCATTAAGTTAGAGTGGACCAAGCCCGGAATGCCAGGACCTTTGATTTTTATCAAACACATTATATCTATTGTACTGTAATTCTTATACTTTCTATTCAAGAGAATAATTAAAAAATAAAGTAAAATATGTACACAAAAACATAAATATATTAAAAATAATATTATATCTGTCACAAAGTCTGTAAGGCAATATACATATAAGTATAAAATGAAATATCGAACCCAGCTATGAAATAATACTACTTATGCTATAAAATTCTAAAAGCTTTCATGGAATTTAAGATGCCAGAAGACAATTATTGCCGAAAAGACGGAATCCCAATATACGAAAGCCGCCTTCTTCGCGCTCCAAAACCTAAAGATTGCCTTCAAAGCAAATATAGATAAAAATAAAGTTTATGGGACGAATTTGTATAAGGATACATTTAATAAAAACTGACTAAAAAATCACAATTAATATCTAATGTTCGATTCTGTTTAGTTCATTCGTGTATTGTGGCCTGTTTTGCATTTTATAATTTAAATATTATGGCAGGTTATCGGCTATCTAATGTCACGCTACGGTCTACGACCCGTGAGAGCGGAGCAATTACACCACCATTTATTAAATAAACTAAACGACCGGAGTCGCGGGAAAAATAATGATAAGATTATTATTTAATAGCAGAACCCGCGGCTAAAAAAAACTTAAAAAAGGTTTCATACAAACTTTCATCCACTATTTTACCTCCTTAGTTTCGAAAAATGCTAAAACATGTATTTATTTAATTTTATTGAAGAACATTAATACTAAGTTTTAAGTAATTCTGATCATAAATATTTTTGTTATTATTTTGTTTTCCCGTGGATATAATTTAAGATAATTTCCTGCGGTAAAAAGTAGCCTATGCGATATGTCACTCTCCAGCCCTCCAACAATCTCCACACACAAAAACAGGCTCATCCGTCACTGTTTCGACGTGAAAAAAGGACAACCAACACACACACTTTCACATTTATAATATTAGTATGGATTTATTATTGTTAGGGCATAAGTTAGTTATTGTCTATATATTTTTTATTGTATTAATGCACCGTTTACAGAAAAATCTATTAGTAATTCTTTTTAATTGTAAACCAATAAAGAGTAATTAGTAGAGGGATGATTTTTTTCAATCAATCCATTTCTATTTGAAAAAATCTACCACTTTGGGTAATCATCACTGACTTAATTTTGAAGTACTATCGAAGTGAAACTTTAGGCGCACCATGAGAGGGAAAAAAAGGATTAGCGTTACGATTTTTGTAACAGAAAAGGTTACGCTGGGACATTACGGAACTGGATAGTCATTCAAGGAATATTGAAACTTTTATATGAATATTTCAAAGAATAAATTAAATAAAAATAGATGTTTAAAAAAAACTTCTTTCATTTATTTTTAAATGAGCCATAGAATCATATCAAATAAATGTTGTTAAAAATGATTACTTGAAATATTTTTTATGCATTATAAATATGATATTTTTCACGAAAAAAAATGCGTCACGTATTATTGAAGTTATAATTCTTTTGACACGTTTGGCAAAAAATATGAGAGTAAAATTTTTACGATGCGTGCGCACACTGACAGCCAAAAAGCGACATGATGAAGCTAGCTGATAACTGTTTGTTGCAATGGTAACCGTTGTTATTGCCTGACAAAGATATATAATAATATTATTCTTTCCTTAAATGATATTCTATAAATGTATATGTAATATGATTGTAATATACCTAATATACCTTATTTAATTAATTAATTATTTTATTAATTTATCATTCCTTTTACAAACAGAGAATGGTGACATATAGGATGAAATCTTTAGCTATTTTTGTTCTATTACGCCAAAGAACACAAATATACGTTTTTTTTATTGGACTTTGGAGTAGGTATATAATTTATTGAATCGTTAAACCATTTGATTGAAAATAAATTTTTATCTTTTCACCATTTCCTTTTTAAATTGATAAAAAAAATATTTTTTTAGTATCTCTCTTCTTCTAATTCGTTTTATTAATTTTAATAACAAGCGTTTAAATTCTACAAGCTACTCAACTACATCACAGCTTCGTTATAGATTTTATTTATAAATATCTATATAAATCTTACACATTTTGTTTCTAAATTATATTTGCTAATATGAAGTATATGTATGTACATTTAATTTTTTATTAACTATTCTTATCATCAGTATATTCAAATCGATTATCTTGAATTCAAATTTCTTGATAGAATTTCATTTAACAACACCATCTGTTTTTAAATGTTACTATTGACAGTTCTTATTGACAAGTATATATGTGAATCGATAAATATCGATTTTCTGAAAATCGATAGTGATAAACAATATAAAAATTTATGTCGTAATGCATGTATGCAATTTTTAATAACCGTTAATTTGTATTGAAATTTAAAGCAATACCATAACAAATAAGATCATTAAATAAATATGAAGGTATTACTGATTAAAATTAATAGTAATTACAAAGTAACTTTTGTAACTATCAAAATTGTGTTACAAGATTCTTTTTTATCCTTCATTATTATCAATTAAAATTAGAATTGAAATTTAATTTATTAAATAAATTTCTAAAAAATTATAAATCATCACAAGTGTCTTAACTTATAAAATATATCATACTCATTACGATATGTTGGACTAAGTCAAGGTTACTCGTACATATTTAGATTCTATTTTGATGCTATTCTTAAGATTTTTCTTTAGTCATAAATAAATAATATTCGTAATTCCTGTTTATATTCTTATGCGTTTGTCATATATCAGCTGCAATTAAATGAATCATACGTATATTGCAAAGACGCAACGCCATGTCAGCGACGGAAGCCTACGCAGTCCCGGCGGTCGGGCGTTTATCTCGTTAAGCGGCGGCACTGCGGGCCTGCGGCGGGCGGGCGCGGCGAACTGGGGCAGCTGGAGCGGCGCGCCGGGTGTCGCCCGCCGCTGCCGACCCGCAGTGACGCATTGCAGGTGCGCGGTGGCCAATCGGCGCGCGCCGCCGCACCCGCCCGATATAAAACCGACTATCCTTTGCGGCTCAAATCTAATCCCGTGCCGTGCGTCCCGAGACATGGACTTGGATGTTCAAAACGTGCATTGAATCGAGACGTAAACGAGTGAGTCGAGAACGGTCATGAGAGTGCGGCTATTCGATTGAACGATTCCGAACGATTCGCGCGGCGCACGGAGCGAATCGCGGTCGCGAGTTTCTCGGCGCGCCCGCTCGCGCGAGAGGGCGGCAGTATCGTTTCAAACGTCGGTCTGTGCGGTCGCTTTTGCGGCGTAGTCTGTGATTTTTTAGTGTAGCTCCAGATAATCCAAGTTAATCTACGATGGTGAGTGTTTTTTCGTCGAAATGAAGCCTACAGTGACATCGGGGGATCATTGCGTATCGGCCCCGGGGTATATTTTTCGGTTGTGGTGCATCGGTGTTTATAGTGATGACGGCCTCCATTATTATTGTGATGGCCGGTTTTTACCGCATTGCGGATTGTCAACGTCGCCGAAGTTTTGGTGGAGGCTTAAAGTGTTTGAACCTCAATGCAACGGAATACCATTGATGGAAGGAATTTTCCAGTGTCTTCCAGCGACCGTTATACGTCTCGCGAAACATCCGTCGCCATAGTTTGTTAGGTGTAATCGTTAAAATGACATTAGTATGAAAAAAGCGCCAGTTTGCGCGATATTTACGATGATGATTATTACATCGAGAGTTAAGGTTGCTGTTTTCGGGTAGGCAGAGGTCGGGGAGGCCCGTCGCGCCCTGCTGACGATCGATCGGCCGGGCGCACCTGTCAAACGCCCGTTGACTCATCGCATCGTTCTAGCTTACATTTTTTCATACGCAATTTTCATTGAACAAGTTCCGTTAGCTTTCCTCGCAAACGTGCAGAACGGTGACATCCTTGGTATATCTAATATGTCTTGTATGATTAAAGTTTTCTTTGCGAAAAGCCGGTCTCCCTAGCTTGTTATTCCTGTTACAATAATCGAGTTTAGGAATTTAGTTTATATTATTTCGTATTTAAAATAGTAGAGGAAATAAAACAAAGGTAAGTTATAATACATGGCAAAGCAATAATAATCTTCTTTTGTATTATATAAATTAAAAAAAGATATAAGAAGTTTGTTCTATAACAATACAACCCCAACTGTAATGTTAAGGAATCAGCAGCTGTTGCAGCACCCCTCTTTATAAATTGTAAAGATAAAATAAAAAAAAACAGTGTGAGAAAAGCACTAGTTTAAATGGGTACTTCAATAACCTCACTAGTATTGTTATTATGATTTTATGTTCTTTTTAAAATAAAATGTAAATATTTCTAAAAATAAAAACAAAGAGTAGTTAGCATGTGAATTAAACTATATTATTTCTAAAATAAATATGAGTTTAGCGTGTAGTTATTTTCCATGAAATTTTATTATGTAAATGCAATTATTTTTTAAATTAACTTTAATAACAAAGAAATATACTAACAATAATTTAGAAAAAGAGTAAAATGACAACTTAGACATTAACAAAAAAAAAACTTTATTATGAATGTCACATATCTTTAAAAATAAAAGCATTGCCTTAACATTTTGTGCATTATGGTTAAATTAGTCACATTCAGTATTTGTACTGAACTTAAGTATTTTTATGAGTAGTTTGTAGTAATTGAAAGCAAGTACACCTTTTTAAATAAATAGAATCGAAATATTTAACTTTTTCATAAAATCTCTTTTTGACTTTGTTGTTTCTTTATTAGATTATATTATCTTGAAATAATAAATATAATTAAACTACATTACATCTTTTTGACAATAATCTGTATAATTTATAACACACTAATTGATAAGCAATTTGGTAAAACTAATAAGTTCTTTTGTACTGAACTTAAGTATTTTTATGAGTAGTTTGTAGTAATTGAAAGCAAGTACACCTTTTTAAATAAATAGAATCGAAATATTTAACTTTTTCATAAAATCTCTTTTTGACTTTGTTGTTTCTTTATTAGATTATATTATCTTGAAATAATAAATATAATTAAACTACATTACATCTTTTTGACAATAATCTGTATAATTTATAACACACTAATTGATAAGCAATTTGGTAAAACTAATAAGTTCTATAGTTTAGTATACTTTACAATATGTAATGTAAAACACAAACATTTAAAAAATTTATTACTTTAGTGAAGCATGTTTAAATAAAACACCGCTATATTACCATTCGACATACATATTAGTAGGAATTCTTTATGTACAAGGTCTTATTTATTAACTGTTACTAGACGAGATTTTGCTGAACATTGTATTATGATTTGCTACTGCTCATTGTTCTACTTATATTTTATCTCTTAAAGTTTTTGCTTTAAATCTAAATGTAATACACTTAACAAATATATGAAACATATTATAATTATAATACTGATATAATAGTTTTTATAAGTAATTGTGTCATAATTTATCATATCTTAATCACACTTTTATCATGCTATAAAGTCTATTGGTTTTCTAAGAATTTTTGACTCATTGTGGTAAATCATTATTTAAATTCATATGACAAAATCTAAATGTTTGTAAGGATTAAAATTTGCAAAGTAAAATTAGCTAAACAGGATAGGTTTTCACCAGGACATCTCATGGTTTAATGGAATATTGTAGAAAAATCTTTTATTTATAACTGTGGTCGTCTCTTGAATTTACAAGTACAATAACTGCATTGGATTATAAAACAGATCAAAAATAAATAAAAGTTAAAGCAAGAGATGGTACAAAATTAATGATTTTGCAACAGCTGTGATAAAGATTGTAATATTGATATAATATCTATTCCAGATACCATATCAACTCATAAGTATTAATAATAAATGTGGTATTTTTCTTATGAAATAATTTAATACTCAATTAAGATTAGATTATAATAGGTGCTAAATAATAATTTCGCAACAAATAAAACTGTGTATATTTTAGAAACCGCTGAATTTCTAAGCACGGCTCTTTGATAAGTAAAGATTATCTGGTCAACATAAAGGCTATTATATTTCCTAAATTATGTGAATTTCTGTGTAATAGTGCAAATATATCCATCATAGAAAAACATGCTTGATTAAAAATTGCTGCTACTCAAAACATATACAGTTTTACAGAACCAAATATTGAATATTGCCAAAACTACTTGCTGTTTATAAGATTTGCATTATTGTATGATGGAAATTTGAAGATTTTTTAAAATCATTGATTGATGACACATTTGAAATGTGTGTAGTATAATGCAAAACAAACAACTGAAATAGAACACACTAAGACAGCTCTTATGTATTTTACTCTGAGATTGTTGAAAGAAAACATTATTTCACAATTGGCAAATAGATTTTTGGACAACAGAAAGCATTATAAAGGAATTCTAAATACACGTACACCTGATAGTGAATCGATTAAATATGTATAATAAAACATTATCAGTGGATAGCCTTTATTGTAATGCTGCAGTATTTGCTATCTCTCTTTATCTGGAGTGTCCGCAGTGTGACGTCGACAAACCAAACACCAATTACTCGTAATCTTAATTGTAATCTTATCAGTTAAGTTTGAACGTCTCATTAGTTCTTCTCACTCGGTCTTAGACTGTCCTATAACATTAACAACATGGTGGTAACAGTGGTACGTGTTCGCTATTTAGCTATAATGTTCTGAAAATTAATATAGACTTCTTTCGGAATTTTAGATTATATGGTTTTTTTATTATCGTCCTCTGTCCTTTAAACGGACTATTTCTTTTAAAATTATTAGCTCAAACGTAAAAAAATAAATTATGTCTATTGTATAGAAATTATCACAGAATATTGTTATAACGAGTCCTACTAAAAGTCTACAGGTCGTTTGTCACGTTTATGATATATATAAAAGAATTGTCTATTATAACTCGTAACACCGCATTTTGCAGGCGGATCAGCTGACAGAAGAACAGATCGCGGAGTTCAAGGAGGCGTTTTCACTGTTCGACAAAGATGGCGACGGCACCATCACCACCAAAGAATTGGGCACCGTGATGCGCTCGCTCGGACAGAACCCCACAGAGGCTGAACTACAGGACATGATCAACGAAGTCGACGCGGACGGTGAGTAATGCTACCACATTCAACTCTTATTATGTTCACAGTTTTCGAACTTGGAAATTAATTTTTAAGATAATAGTTGGTTATTTTTTATCATGTTTCAAAGGCTATTGCCACAATAAGAGATATGAGAGAATTTATGATAGCGTGTTTCAAGACCTCGTATGTTATCAATTTGTATATATTTAAATAATTTGAGTGTTTTGTCAAAATTAATTACGCGTATGAACCTGACATAGAGAATGTACATGAAAGTAGAGCACTATCGTTAATCGGACGTTATCGTTCGTCATGTTTATGGCACGCGATAACCGATCAATATCTGCGTATACTCGTTATATCAACTAAGCTGTAGTGAAATGTAAATAGTAATTGTTGCAAGTGTTAGTATTGCTTATCAGTAAGTTTAAATGTTGCTTCAATAAACTTTGATTATTCGAAACCCTTACTGAAAATCCTGCTACGTTCTCGAGTTTGTCTTTATAAATCTCACTTAAACCTAACCAAACGCAATTTGCCAGAGTCGATGTCAAGTTAGATAAATTCCTTCTTTCCTTTTTTTTATTTCTGGGTCACGTCTTTCGTTAAACCTTTTAGATTGGCTTTCGACCTTTTTAAATGCGTTTTCTTATTTTGTTGTTTTCGCAATATTACTGATAAATAGATTTTTACGATTCAGCCACTGTTTTATGAAAAATATTTGAATTGTTTGAGTCTATTTTAAACATTTGTCTGTAATCAAGTCACTGTGCAATTAAAGACGGTATCACATCCCCTATATTCTAATCCTGAGCACATAAAGCGAATTTCAAACAAGAGTAATGTTAAGTAATTATTGAATCATTCTTATGCAAATATCACTATCGCTTCTCGCATTTGTCTTCTGCCAAGGAAAATAAATTCGCCGTCTTCAATATCGGCAGACAATAGCTCTGAGACGGTTGATGAATGGATAAAACGAAGTATGATCGTCTCGTTCATTCTGGCATCATTCCTTTAACATGTGCGTCCAAATTGCAAGCACTACATTGTGAGCAGTACTTAGAAGTTACTCTAGGAGACACTTGTGGCGTACCGTTTAATTTTCCTTATATATCGGCGAATTTTTATTAGATTTTGCTTGTATCAGCACATTTTGGCTGTTTGGAACCTATATACCGAATAAAATGTATGAATAAAACAAAAGCCCCTCACATCCATCAGATTCACCGTTTGAGGGGGTAGTTTTCCTTCATATCGTTGCAAAAATACAGACTGCCCAACCGTCGTGGAGCTGTATAGGTACATACCACCAGTCGTTAAGCCACTCATAATTTAATACACGATTTAGCTGCCAATATGTCAAAATATGTATTATTAGCCAAATGGCGCCCATTTTGAGCGACTATATCTTTATATATTTGCTAGTGCATTTGCCAAATATAAGACGACTATATAGAGCGGAGAAAGACTTGAACACTCGTTATAACATAAAATGTAAACCCAGGACTTAAAGTATCTCAAAGGCTTTGATCACGCATCACGGCTGTTGTCACGTGTTGTATTTTCGGATTTATCTAACTTATAATATTAGATAAAACAAGCTGTGTTAAATTAAAACAATGACGGTATACGCAGTAGCGCCGGCGCGGACACTTCTCTTTCCGGGAATCCTTGAGCAAACTTTGTGTAATAACAATAACTTTAGACGTCGTAATGAAATACTTCTACACATATAATAAAATTGTAACTAAGCCGAATCTGTACATTAGATATTTTTTGGAAAATCTTATTGAAATAAACATTATCGATACAGAGGCCGAATCTATAGTTCTTAGAATTTTTGTCTGTCTGTCTGTTACCGCATCACAGAAAAACCACTGGAGGGATTTTGATGAAATTTGATATGGTGATATGATCCGGGTCAACATATACGATACCTTTTACTGCTGGAAAATATCTCATTTCTGAGAAAAAATACAAAAACTGCAATGTAAGATTATACTAATATGTAAAACCTAAGAATTTGGTTTTTGGTCATCTGAACGCAGGCGGAGCCGCGGGCAATTTATCGCTTGAATTCAATTCAATTCTCATGTTAATATCGCTTACGGATACTTTGGTTATATTTTCATGGATACTATCCATACTACATTGTGACAGCATACAATTGAATCTTTTCCCCTGACTAAATAGTGACTATTAAGCTAATTCTACGACCTGCCGAGACATCTGCATGTTGGTACTTTAGACAGTGACAAATGCTTTATACCGGCACATCAAGAATTTTTTGTAGTGATTAAAAAAACGACTTCAGGACGCCCACGATAGATCTTTCATTATTTTTTTAAAGTATTATAAAAATGTGCGACTTTATTGATTCAATTTTTATTTTGGTAGTCGATCCATTGTGAATTAACACGTTCTTAAAGTAGCAATATATAACGCGTAAGAGTGAGGAAGTCATGTATCAGATAGGCGTTATTTTCGGTTTTGTTTACAAAATTAATTTGTATAAACCGGGCGCGACGCGGGACGGCCTTGACATCGCATGTGATCAACGTGGCGTCAAATAAGAATTGATACTTTATTAATATGGTAGTATTTATAACGACACGCACCCAAGTGAAGTTTTGGCGCGTCTTGGGACGAGTTTGCGAGCTCGTCCGTTTAGTCAACGTACGGGTCCTCGCCAAATATCCGCCCCCAAGATACTCGGGAAAGCCAGAAGGGCAATATTCAATCTTTTACGTCCGTGTGACTGAAGTTATATCTAAGAAACTTACATATAGAATGCTTAGATATTACTGTTATCTGACTTCAATTTCACCTATTCGTAGAAAAAAACTACTTGCAAGTTATAACATGTTCTAAAACTTGGTCTTGTCGTTACAAATTACTATTTATGAATTGCGACTTCTCACTATATTTATGTAATAAGATTATAAATCAAGGACTGTTGCATAAATGCATATAAAATGTGCATAACACATAAGTTAGCTAGGTGAAACATTGGCTACGGGTACGGATTTATATCAGAAATCGAATTCGCATTCTCATGGGACAGCCATTGATGTTGTCATGTCATCCCGGAACTTATCGACAAATTGATGTTCCATATTAATTCGAAGAATCTTGGGAACGAGCATATGTCCGATTGTTTATTATTTTCATACGCAATTCGTTCCACGAGGGCGTGAGATCGTCAATTACCATAACAATTGCAGTCTTTGTGTATACTGTGTAACTCGATACTTATTATCATCGCGGAGCTGCCCTGTTGTTGATACCTGTCCGTCATCATTATACTTGCAGTTCTTGACGTCATTTCGAGGTCGTATTTACGCTCTTTAGAGAATACTTGCTTTGATGCATTGATACATTTGTATTTCATCTACCGTATTTTAAATAGAAACGTATTTTGTCACTTTTCACACTTTTTTTTAAATTCAAAACACGAGAAAGTTCTTAATTCGTTTTATATGTAAATATAACTTGATGTATTCGCCCACGTACTTTAGCTATTCTCAAATAAATAGGATTTAGGTGAGGGCAAATCCCATAGCTAATCTACATGGGTCTATAGTTCTATACCTACATAGGAGATATTTGGGAAAAACTATTATTTGAGGGGTCTTTTTTATTATTAAAGCAATAAAACCCAAAACAATGATTTTTAGATATTCTGTTTGTCTGTGCGTTCATGCGCGCTAATCTCAGAAACGGATAAGCCGATTTGGGTGCGTTTTTCAATAATGTGTTATGGTAAGCTTCACTTAACATTTAGTATTTGTTTTATATCAGTCTGTTCATAAATAAAAAAGTCACCTAAGGACTAACCCGAGCAAAGCGATGGTGAGTCGGTTGTCTATACTAATATAATAAAGAGGTAAAGTTTGTGAATTGTGAGTTTGTGATATTGTAGGGGGTATTCTCTGGATCTACTAAACCGATTTAGATGAAATTTGATATAAAGATAGTTTGAGACTCTGAGAAGGACATAAAATACTTTTTATCCGGGAAATCATCCCTTAAGGGGGTGAAAATAGGGATGAAAGTTTGTATTGGAAATCAAGCTAGGGACGAACCCGAGCAAAGCGAGAGTGAGTCGCTAGTTAAAGAATAAATTCTTACCCCAGTTTCTAATTTACATTAAGGCAAGTTGTTAAAAAAATCTACTTTTCTAAACATTCAAGTCCGGTTGGTAAAAAAAAAATACTTTTGAAATAATCTACATAACAAGATCAAATATCTGCAAGAGTTCCTAAAATTTTATGAACATTTTTTATTATTTCCGAGGTCTCTTGTTATTGTAATCCAGGAAAAGGATGTTTCCTGTTCGGAATTTATTTAACTTCGACATTCGCCAATTGGCTAAAGGCTATTTGAAATCATTTTCCTCCAAACATCATAATTTTAACAAAATGTAGAGGTTTTTGCCGCATTGAAAGACTAATGGAACTGAAAACAATGCAATAGAGATGGATAAAATAAATTATAAGATTTAATAAAGGCGAACTTCAATGCAGTATTACTAACTTCAGAGTAATCTCAGGTCTCCTACAATTCTTGCTGGACATATTTCAACACGACGCTTTTCGATCAAACTTACAATTGAAACTAGAAAATTTTATTTAAAACTCAATATATAGTTTTAAAGATTTGTGGATAAATAGTTTTCTTCATATTAGCACTGGTTCATGTGGTTTTGTGGCCGATATTGCGATCACGAGTTGGCAAATAACAGAAGTTGATTACGTTTAACACAATGTACTCGTTATTACTTTACATACTTTTGTAATTAGTTTCATATTGGTACATTGCGCTTAGATAAAATATTTAGAAGGACATTTTTATTATAAATAATTAATGCTTAACTAACGGTCACAGTGCAAATATTGCGACGGAGTGTGTTCCGCCGCTTGCGGTTAACAATGGCGATGTCATATCCGGCGACCGCTGCAAATTAATTCGCTAAACGAATAGCAGGAAAGAGTCCTTGATAAACAGATGTATGTTTTCCT